GGGAAGACAGAACCCATCTACTCTATCTGAGCTTGTATATAGGTTGGTTTTCTTAGTGGGGTAACCTATCACCTTTAACTGGCATGTAAGGTATATTTAAAGGAAAAAGAAGAAGGGTCATAGACCCTCATTCTCATGTCTTCATGCAAACCCTACCATTCTATGCTCCACTTTCATGCATAAATAGTTATTTCAAGACTGTGAATCTTTTCTTCTTCTATTTGAGATTTCCTTCCTCACTCCACCTGTCTTCTGAACTAGCTCTCATTTTTCAAGAAGTAAATTACTATGCTTTGACTGTCTTATTTGGTTATTGGTCTAGTATTTAGATCTCAGTTTTATCTAAGAATAATGACTGGCTCATTCTTCTATAACTCATTCTTTCTAAAACTCAGGTATTCTCTCCACCCTAGCCAATCTCCTCACCATGCAATTCCTGTCCCACATCACTCAGATGGTGGCCCGTTAGTCATACTACAGAGCAGGGTTATTTCTAATGCTAATGTTACAGTATTGCAGTGATGTCAATTATGTTAGACACTGTGTGTGTACTGTATGTAATATAAACCAGAAATCAGGCTAAGGGCTTTATTTGCATCATCTAAGTCTCAGAACTCCATAAGGGTTGTTGTGTTTATATACTAATTTTACAAATGAGAAAACTCAGACTCAAAGAAGCTAAGAAACTTGCCCAAGGCCAAAGACTTGAAAAGAGGCAGAGTGAGGAATACTATGGACCCACACAGACTAAACTCAGAGGCTAAATTCTTAACCACTGGCTTATGATTCCAAAATGGAACTTACAGCCTTTTTTCTACCATCCCCATTGCTCAAGCCAAAAACTTAAGTTGCCCCCTTCCTCCTTCCAAATTCCTTGATCTTCAATCTATCTGCATCTGCCTTAATTCAGTTCTTACCTGAGTAATGACAACAGTTACTTGATGGCATTCTTCTAACAAGCAAGTCCTTCAAAACCGCCAGACTGGCCTTTCCAAATCACAACTCGATCATGTCAATTTCAACTGAATTCCTTGCAGTGTTATTATATATAACCTATGCAATGATCCAAATTCCTCAGCACATGGAAGACAAGGCCTTTGACCATCCAGTTCCATTCCTGCACTTCAATACCATTTACTATTTCTCTATACAAACCTCCATATTCCATTCATGCCAACCTTGTTGCAAATCTTTAAACAAACTGTATTCTTAATCCTTCAATACTGCAAATAGTGTACTATTTGGGATATCTATGTAGTTCTCACACAAAAAAATTATGCTGATACTTCGAGTTTCGGCCCAAGTAGCATTTCCTTGACAATAGTTTAATAATATTTTTTTAGCACAATGTATCTGACACTACTCTAAACCCTTTACGTATTTTGATGCCTATTTAATAATTCCAATTATCCTATGAGGAAACTGATAATTGGAGAGCCAGCAGTTGCTGCCACTTTGATGTATCTGTGGGATTCATATATTTCCCTCCAAGAATTTAACACTGTTCTCTACATCTCTGCTTGTATAGTGCCTGGCACATAATAGAAACAGTAGTTCAATGAACATCTTCTAAACAAATGGCGAGTGCTGTGCCTCTGGGTTCTCAGTTCTCAGCAGACTTGGAAACCCTTCCTGGCCATTAGCCCTCTCATTTCTTCAGAGCACAAGAGGCGCATAACAAACACGTTCAGCGTCCCAGTAAGCTTAAGTAAACCTTCAAGCACTGACCGAACGCTCTGCCCATCCTCGGGCACACGTCACCACGCTTTTTATGCAGCTAACTTCTTTTAACTTCTTACAAATGTCCACGCTGGGACCCAGCAGGCATTCAAAACACCCTGGTTCACGATGACGACATTCGGCATCATTTATGAATTCCCAATAAAGGAATGTGGAGCTTACTTTGGTCTCCCAGAGGGTCGACTTCTGTGGCCATTTCGACACAGTTTCAGCTGGGAGCTTCCAGCACCTTCCCCTTGCTCCGAGCTCGCGATGCGGGAAAACACAACTCCGGCCGCGCTCGCGAGGCTGTCAGGCGCCGGAGCTGGGCATTGGCATCCCACTCACGCAGCGCCCGCCGCCGGCCGCCGGCCGCGCGCCCGGCCCCGAGGCGCAGCAAGCCCCGCGCCCGGGCGGACACTTCAGATTTCAGAGCCGCTGCGGGCTCACCAAGTGGACTCGCTGCACGTTCGGCCGAATCCCACCGGGAGCGAGGGGGACCCGGGTGCGGAGGTGTCCCGCGGGTCTCTCGGGGTCCGGCGGGCCGCCTGCGCGTTCGCCGAAGGGGCGGGCGGGCGGTTCGGCGGCGGCGACCTTCGCGAAGCTAGGGGCAACTCTGGGACCTCCACGAAGCCCCGGGCCAGCAGCGGAAGTCCACTCGGCCCGCCCTGCGACTTTGAAACCGGTGCCCCGGACCGCTCCTTGGAGACGGCGACGCCTCCTCCGTCATCACGCGGGCGTCAGCGCTCACGTCACCGCGCTTCCTGCGGACCCGGCACACTATTGGCTGGCTGTCAAGAGGTGGGCGGGTCCGTGGGAACCTGGCTGACAGCAGGCTGAGCCACCCTAGTATCGCGGCCCGCGAGCGCGCGGGCGGGTGGCGCCAAGTGGTCAGCGTATTAGGCCCCTATTTTAAATTCCAAAAGGTAGGTGCCACCAAAGCTCTCAGATTCTTCATCTACAGTTGCGGATATTCTGAGCATTTCTGGACTGGGAAAGCCCGCTTTTCACCCACCTGCCAAAGGAGTTGAAAGCATGTAGGTTCCCACCGCTGCGGGGGAACCCGGACTGTCAGACTCCCTCATCAGGCTGCTCCTCTCGAGTATTTCGGGGCACGGACTTGCTCGTCTCCGGAAGACAGTACGGTCTGCTCCTCGTGGGTCTTTAGAGAAAGAACACAGCTGTTGTCTGAATATTTAACTCTGTGGTGATAAGGTATGCACTCAGAAGTACCCAGAAGATCCTGCACAGTTAGCAGTTATTTCTTCCAACATGTTTGTTTCCTCAGATAGAAGGAAAGAGAAAATTTACATTTTGTGCAAGAAAAAAAATAAGTAAAATTTACACTTGTGGATAGATTAGTGTCCAGTTTTAAAAAGTAATTCTGTCTGAGCTTGAACCATTTTTTTTTAACAAAACACATAACATTGGAAGAAATTATAACACTAGTAATAAAAACTTAACTTGAAATAGCCTCTAGTTTTAGTGCTTTTTAATAGATAGTATTTTTGTGGATTGAAATAAAGTTCCACTGAACCAACGTGTCATAAATGCACCTTGATTTGGTTTTCCGTTTAACAATTTAAGAAGTCTTTTTTCCCCTGCATTCACACTGTCATATAAACAAAATAATGTTAGCAAAATTTATCAAGACATTTTAAAAATATGTTCAAGTATGTCCAATTAGGTATTTGAGGATTGTTACAGGTTTTACTCCATCTGACTATTAAGAAAATGAGATTGTTTTTTCTTCCAAAGACTGTTAAATATGTGTGTGTAGGCAATAACCACAGAAAGATTTAATTGGTTTTGAGTCAGTTAAGATTGAAAGTGTTCTGGTTTTTAGTGGCCATGAAGTTAACACAAAAACTTATTAAAAGGGAAAATTGAATGTGCAAGCTCCAACTCTTTCTTAAAGTTCACTGACTCTTCATGAACTTCTCACTGACTGACCAAAGACTTGCTTATAACTTCTCCTACATTTGAACCTTGTATGTTGTCATATTGTGATTTAAGTTGATATTAAGCCAGTCCTTGCAGATTTAACTATATTTACACTCAAAGCTGGCAGATTAAAAAAAGTGTGAGTAAAAGCAGAGTTCCTTCTGGGTGTAAATGATGTGTTGTTTTCAAATAAACTGAATAATGAAATGGGAAATATTTTTGTCTACATTTTTAATTGTTTGGCTCATGTGATTGTGATGAAAGTGAACACAAACCATAGTTTTTGGTTTTTATTTATATTTTATGTTACAAGACTTAAGTGCTTGGATTCTAAGAGTATTTTCAAAATAACTTTCATCATTAGTAAACAAAATTGTAAAGATTCTATTTATCCTTAAAGTATCCTATGTAGTCTTTCTCCTTATTAAATCTTCTCCTGAGCGCCCTATACACTTTTCCCCAAGGTAGGTGCCATCAAAAGGTAGTTGCCACCAAAGCTCTCAAATTCTTCTTGCAATCTTCATCAAACGAATCCATGATTTGTTTCCAGGCTTTATCATAAGGTTTTTTTGTTTGTTTTTTTGTTCTTTTGTTTGTTTTTTTTTTTAATCTCATGAGTTAAAGAATTCAGTGAATGTGCATGGAAAGTAACTGTGAATGTAAAACTCTCTATGAATGAGAAGAGGAAAAGAAAATGACTTACTATATTTATTCTCAAACCACCATGTCATGGTTTTATATTACTTTTCTTCATTTAAAAAAAACCCTTGAAAATTATACAGATTGAAAATCAGTGACAGATTTCACTCTTATGAATTCATTCAATCAACTGACATCTAGTACTGTATGCAGGCCATTATGAAAAATATGACTATAAAGTGGCAAAGAACGCAAAGCTTGACGTTTAAGCAAGGTTCCAAGCTGATCACACAGTTAAAAAGCCTCCGGGCTGGGATCTGCGCCCAGGAGGTACAGTTCCATTGCGCAGTGTGCACCACTCCGTGGTCTCCCACGGTGCAGTACGAGTGCAGAAGCCTAACGTAACCAGCAGCTGGAGGTACGGGTCGGGGCCTTTAGCTGCAGGCCGTGAACGATTGCCTGGACGGCTGACAGCCGATTTTCGAATCGTTGCATAGTATTTATGCAGCCGAATTACCCTTCCTTCCCTTAGAAAACCGCTCGAACTTCAGCGGCATGACGAACAGTGCGCACGCGCTCCTCCACGGCCCCGGCACGCGTTTCTTCCCTAGCACCGCCTGGCGTCCGCGCCGGCCCTGCGAGCCCCGCCCCGGGACGTGCGCGCGGCGGGCGGGCAAGGCCACGCCCCCCGGGGGGCCGCCGCGCCGCGGGAGCCCGTCGGCCCGGGCGCTGCACGGCTTCCGGTCCGGGTGCTTGCGAGCCGCCGCTCCGCTGCTCCGAGTTCGCCCGTCGGGCCTCGGTCTTCTCCCTGGGAAATCCTGCGAGGTGCTTTACTCCGCTGCCGCCTCCCGCTGGCGTAGTCCACCCCTTCCTGGCTGCCTCCCTCCTTTCTCCGTTTCTCGTATGAGTGAGCGGGGCGGGAGGGTGCAAACTGAAAAGAAATAAGTATTGTTGAATGACCAGCGGACCGCTGCGAAGACAGGAATTTGGAAATCTCCTTGCAAAAAGTTTATTAAGGAAGCACCTTTCCCCTAACTTCTTTCTTTTAAACCTTCTGAAATATATATATATATATATATATATATATATATATATATATATATATATATTTTTTTTTTTTTTTTTTTTTGTTTGTTTGTTTCTTCCGCGCTCTTAACGGCCCAGAGTTTTGTCTGTTCGTCTTTTCCTGCTTTTCCTTTCAAGGGTCTTTCCTTATTAAGTGTAAAACAATGAAAATAATTGACAAGAGTATCTTTTTTACTTCTTTTGATGAATGAATAATATGAATAACGAAGTTTAAAAGCACAAAAGTTCAAATTAACAACACTATTTTAAGAAATTAAAATTACAGAGTAGGACCTGAATCACCTTGATAATATTAATTCTGGCTGTTTGGAAATGTTCGATCATCATACTTTTTAAGACACTTGACATTAAATTAGACTTTAAAAGTATTTTTAAATTATTTATTTTAAAATAGCAATGCATACTTACAGTATAAAATTCAAACAGGTTAAAGAAGAAAAAAGTGATAAAGTTGAAAGTAAGCCTTCCTTCATGTCTCCAGCAGATAATTCTTTCGAGAAAATCAATCAGCTCTACCACTGGTTTCTTAATATGCTTCCTGAAAACCACCACTAGCGTATATGCAGAAAAGCTTGCTTTTTTATTAAATAACTGCACAATTGTACACCTGCTTTTTTCACCTCACAATATTCTTTAGATGGACATATAGAACTGCCTCATTGATTCTGAAAACTATGTAGTATTTCATTTTATGATAGCATACTTTCTTTGCCTGTCCTCTACAGAAAGGTAAAGATGCTTCTAATATTTTGTTATTCTAAACACTGTTACCACAAAATACTTACACTGTTGTCATTTTGATTATGCCCAGGTATTACAACTCTTAGAACTAGAACTGCTGAGTCAAAAGGATATTTGCATTTTTATTTTGATAGATATTGATTTTTCTCTTCACAAGAGGCTGTACCAATTTTACTCCAACTGCAGTTATGTGGGGTTTTTTCCTGTCTTCATTAACACAGCATATTATCAAAGTTTCTGATCCTTGCCAATCTAAGTGAAAATTTACTGTTGTTTTGGTTTGCATTTCTTTCATTGTTAGTGATACTGAATATTTTGTGTTTTCTTTCTGTGAAATGGCTGTTCATATCTTTAATCCACTTTTCTGTTGGGATTTTGTTGGTTTTATTCTAGAAGCTCTTTATTCGTAAACAAATAGCTATTTGTTTGAAATATAAAACACATATACTTTTTCTAAGACTTCTTTTGGTTTTGTTAATGAGAGGTTCATTTTTGGTGGCGGGGGGAGGGAGGCTGCTGCTTTTATTTTTAAGGAGTCAAGTGTTTCGGTTTGGGAATATATTTTAAAAGGCTTCTCTACTAAAACAATCTTCTTTTAAACTCTTTTTGTTGTATTAGTAGGGATTAAGTTTTTCTGTGTTTATATAGGTTGATATTTTATGTTTAAATCTTCAATTCATCTAAGACTTAGTTTGATGAAGGGATCCTACTGTATTTCACTGGATTGCAGAGAGAAGCCGTTGATAGTGGAAGTGGTGACCTGGCTGATTGCTCTGAGAATCATCCCAAACTCCCCATAGAGTTCTTCCACATATTTCCCCAGCACCTGGCATGTATCCAAACAAAATGAGTGTTTGATAAGAGCTTAGTGAACTAAGGAAAGGGAATTTCTGGGTATGAGAAATCATCATTTTAGCTCTTGTACTGATGTGTACTGTTAAAGGGATGAGGTGCCACTAACAGGTTTCTCCTGGACGTAGCCTGACAGTCATAGAATTCCAGATGCAGAACCCAAAACAATATTCACTTAATGGATAAACGGTTAGCTCCTATTACTGACAGGTTTCCTAGATGTGGCCAGGGAGACAATAAACTAGCCAGTCAATCAGAGAAGTTCTCTGATTCAAAATGGAGCAGTGTACCCCTAATAGCAAATGACGTAAGGAGAATCCAGTAGAGAATGACCCAAGGGGAATGCGAGGCCAGGGGTGAAGGACAGTGGCTATCAAATCCTCTTGAATTAATGAGCATGTGGGCAGAGAAACTGAAGGGAGGGGTTAAGTAAGACTCAGGAATTGAGGGAGTTGTCAGTCATACCTAGATTGACATGAGTGTTCTTAAGCAATAATAAAGTTTTAAAAATTCATTTGTCATCCTAAAATTAAGTTATTTTTTACCATTAAAGTCAAACTTATTTTCTGCCCTTGGACTTACATTCTGCCATGGCATTACTCTGAACTGTTGAAAATCTAGTCACTATTTCTTGCAATAGTTTTCAAAAAAAAAAAAATGCAGAAAGAAACCTTAGGGGAAAAGGGAAACAAACAAAACAACACCCCAGTAGAAAGGTTTGGAGCTATCACTACCTCATTCACAGAAAGAAAATCTCTGCTTTTTTTCGTTCTTATCTTCCAGATTAAGATTAGGTTTTAAAGTAATTTGAAACCTACAAAGTATGTTTGCTCACTCTGTGTACATGGAAGTGACAGGCCACTTTTAGGAGCATATAAGTGAATTGGGTTTTATTCCATTTTGACATATAGACAATTGCCTGAGTATTGGGATTTGGATAGGGAATCCCTTTAATTTATGCAGCACTTTGGGGGATATGGTGGTTGTATGAAGAATGAGTGAGTCCATAAGAACTTCCCAGTTACTGAGCTATATTATAGTTTGTCAGAATTGTCAGGATGGTCATGCTCCAAATTAGGAAAAGAGCATACTCTGTCACCATTCTTGGTGCCAGAATCAAAGTTAATCCACACTTCTAACATCTTGATTAGTTGTATTTCTTTTTCTTCCTATGGCCTCAAGAGGATACTTATTCCAACCAAAATTTGGATGGGGAGTTATAGATTTATTTTTGTAGAATAGTCCCTGATGTTTCAACTAAAGAAGATAAATTTATCTTTGAGCTATTTTATTCCCTACAAACCAAGACTGCATTCCATATAAATCAGAGTCAGTTTATAGTCTTAGTGCTCTTTGAGCCTATTTCAGTAGTGAAGAATATGAATTACTGAACATTTCTTCTGAAGTGCTATCAGTTTTTTATGAATTGTAATAAAAGAACTATTAATTTTAGAGCTTATTAAAATTTGTTAGCAGAGATGAAAGTTAGCAGAACTACATACTTTAGAGAAAGGATTACAGAGATTTTGGATCCTTATGTGACACAGAGCTTAGCTATTTGGCCTCCCACTGCTTGGCACATAGTAGAACATGTATTGATTGAATTAAATTCATTCACATTTAATAACTTCATTCCTTGATGTAAAAATAACATGAATCAAGGGGATTCATTAAGAGATTGCAGATAAGGGAAGTTACAGTTTGGAAATATCATCAGATACTAAATCAGGATTATCTTCTGGGTAAGATATAGAAACCAGTAATAACTTGGAGAATCCACCACTTCTAAAATAAAGTTTTTGTCCTGCAGTATCTTTGGGAAAACATGGCTGACATTGGTCTGGTTGCTAATCATGCTAGTTATGTGATCTTGGACTAGTCTGTTTCTTCATTTGTAATGAGGATAATAATAGCTCCTCTGCAAGTTTGTAGTGACATTAAATGGCATAATGTTTACAAAGTGATGGACTCATGATGTTCAGCAAATGTAATTGTTCTGATATAATACTATGTCCTTACATTGGAAACTTGCAAAAATAATTAAAAATGCAAAGTCTGTTTGTTTCAGTCTATTTCAAAGTTTAAAAGACAGTATATTCTGTTCCCATTTTTCAGTTGTAGAGAAGTGATTAACCAAACAAGAGGTTATTTAGTAATTGAAGTGTCAGAAATTGAAAAGGCATAAAAATATGTGTGTGCGTATATATGTGTATGTATATATATATGTATATATATATATATATATACATATATATATATATATATATATGAAAAAAGGAAGACAAAATTCAGCTCTACCAATCTTCAAATTGTTGGAGTCCTCCCTGACCTCAAAGAAAAAGTTTTTAGCCAAAAGAATTGTCCAGCATCTACTGATTTATAATGATTTTTATCAAGTTGAATTTTTTATAATGATCTTGATTTCCAGAGGATATAGTAACTCAGAATTCTATGTACGTTACAGTGAAAAAAAAGACAGGAGAAAATATAAATTCATAGTGTTTATTGTTAAGTATATTAACAAGTTCTGCCATGGACTGAATTAGAACTTTTGAAAATGATTTTATCACATTCTTCATGAATAGACCATGATCTAGATCAAACAAGTCTCAAAGCTTTTAGGACCCTCCCTATAAGCTGTTTTAGAATAGAACTTGGATTTCATGACTTGCCAAAACACAGATGGCCTTTGGACTCCCAGGACCCTGTTCTTGTACTAAGTTGCCCTCCTATTATTTGGTAATAAAATTTTCATTTCATTTCTAACTAAAGGAAGCTTTTCTATTTTGTGAAAGAGTTTATTTTAATATGTTTCTTCCTTCACGGTCTCTAGATGGATTTTAAAATCGAACATACTTGGGATGGTTTTCCAGTGAAGCATGAGCCGGCATTTGTCAGGCTGAATCCAGGTGAGGGAGGGGTGATGGTGGAAGTCAGTGCCCCATTTTTCAACGATCCTCCAGCCCCACTTGGAGAACCAGGAAAGCCTTTCAATGGACTGTGGGATTATGAAGGTAAGTGGAAGTACTGTATTTTATTACAAACATAAATCTCTTTATAATAGCCTCTCACAGAAGTATTATTTTATCTTGCTGCTAGCAAGGGAGTGCAGTGCTCTGAGTGGCTGACTGTGCAGTGTCTGCTGTTTCCTACGCATCTCTCATTCTGACTCTTTCTCTATTACCTGTGTGACTTCAGCTATATAACTAGAACAGTGAAAAATGGCAATTACAAATTCATATTTTTAGATTGCTGCCATATTTCCTATTCTGAGAGGAGTTGAGAAATTGCTATTTTGCCTTTATCTTCAAATTATCACTGAAGCTTTATAAACCTTTATGGAAGTTTTGGGGTGTTTTACTTATTGTAGAAACAATGTCAACCCCAACATGAAATTTAATTTTTACTTCATACTGGCAAGTAATCTCACATATCAAATTAAGGCTAAAAAACATGTCACAAAAATACATGATTTTAGGTTTATTCTGTGATATCCTGTGCTTCATTGGTTTTAGTCAGCTTTTTTGGCACTGTAACTAAAAGACCTGACAGGAACATTATAGAGAAGGAAAAGTTGATTTGGTCCCCGGTTTCAAGGTATCAGTTCATAGACAGCCAGCTCCATTGCTCTGGACCTGAACATCATGGTGGAATGGTGTGGAGGAGGAAAACAGCTCAGGACATGACAATTAGGAAGCAGAGAGAGCTCTGCTCAGCAGGGAAAAATATAAATCGAAAAGGCATGCCCCCAGTGACCCATCTCTTCCAGCCACATCTGCCTACAGTTACCACCCAGTTAATCCATAAAGTGGATTAATCCACTGATTAAGGCTGTAATAACCCAGTCATTTCACCTCTGAAAATTCTTGTATTGTCTAACACACAAGGGGATACCTTATATCTAAACCATAATATCTTCCTAATCAAGTTACTGGATTAATCTTTCTGAAATGCTTAATGATGCCATTCTGCAGATCGTAAGTCATTATAAATATTTCTAGGATAAATTTCAAACCATTCCTGTAAGCTTTCTGTACACTCATGAATTGGGCCTTCATGTTCAACCAAAAGCTCTTAACTTCTGAAAGGTTAATGGTCTTATCGTCCAAACATATTCTCACCCACATATGGTCTCATTCTGCGCTCTCTGCCTCTAGTGCACGTAGTTCCAGGTGTAATTTAGATTCCATTTCTTCAGAGATGTTTTAATGAATCTTCTAGTTAATGCTAACATCTTTCTCTCACCTTTTGTATAGCATGCCTTTGTCAGTGTTAGTTTGTCATATTTTAAGCATTTACCTTCTTTTATTGATACAAAATTTGTATACTAGGTTTCTCATAGTAAACACACCAATATGACTTCTCTTTAGATACTTATAGGCACCAAACTCAACAGATCCTCATCTTAGCTTATCTACTTTTCTCATAAACCTATTTCTTTCCCTAATTGCCCAATCTCAATCAATGAAACTAACAATAACTCAAATCATCAAATATGAAAATTGTAAGATCTTTCCAAGATATTCCTCTCTCACGTATCCATACTTGGATTTATTCACTAAGGCCTGTCAGTTTCTCTAATTCAGAGCCTCCTTTTCATCCCTATCATCCTTGCTGTGGATTAGGCCTTTCTCATCTTCTATCTTTGGTTAGGGTATAGCTCTCTAGTCCTTTTCCCCTTCACTCAGAAGCAGAGTGATCTGTCTAAAGTGAAAATTTAAACTCATCCATCAGCTAAAACCTTTTTGTGCTCCCTATCCTCTCAAGATAAATTTTATCCTTCTTAATATGATCTCTGTGCAAGGTTTTCCTTGACCCAGCCCTTATTCTTTCTGTAGCATTACCAGTTTTTACTACATTTTGCCAAGTAAGACTGAATTGTTTGTAGTTCTTTAAATCCCAATTTTTCCTAATTGTGTGCCTTTGAGTCTATGGCCCTGTCCCACAGAATGCTGTTTTCACCATTCTTCACCCATTTCCAACTCAGTTTACAAGATGGAGTTTAGCTAGCATCATCTCTAGGAATTCTTTGCTAAATCAATCTTCCCCACCTCAGCTAATAGTCTATTTTCCTCTTTCCTATAACAACATATATGCTCCTCTATTTTTAAATTTTTTAAAATTTTCCAACTCAGTGTCAGACTGTATTGTGAACTAATCAAGGTACTTGTAGAATCTGATATTGTGTTTAGTACAGAGAAGCCACAAAAGTGTTTGAAAGGTGATGATGGATAATAGAAACAAGAAAGCGTCTGTTGGCAAGGGGAAGGCAATGGTTTGCTTTAAGGAATCGTCTCACACAGGTGTAGACATTGGCAAGTCCAATATCTGCAGGGCAGGGGCTTAGCGACCCAGGGAAGAGGTGATTTTGCAGTTCAAATTTGAAGGCTCTCTCAGAGAGAGCAGTTGGTCTTTTTTCTTCTATTAAGACTTTCAGCTGGTTGAATGAGGCCTACCCACACTGTAAGGATGATCTGTTTTATTAAAAGTCTGATGATCTAAATGCTAATCTTACAGAATACTATCAAGGAACATCTGGAATAATGTGTGACCTAATACCTGGGTACTGTGGATTAGTTGATAAATAAAAGTAACCACCATAGTAAACATTTTCTTTTCTTTTCTTTCTTTCTTTTTTTTTTTTTTTTTTTTTTTTTGTGCTTGGGATTGAACCCAGGGCAGGGCTTGTAGCGTGGTAAGGCAATCACCATACCACTGAACTATATCCCCAGTCCTCACGGTAGACATTTTAATTTGTTTAAGTAAAAGATTTAGAGAGGGATAATTCAATTCTCAGAATTATTAATGGAACTGTATCTTAGCTATTGTATTGTAAAAATAACATGAACCATTAGAAACAATTTAAATGTCTACTGATGAAGGATTAGATAAATTAATTATAATATTCTGTAGAAAAATAATGTGGTCATTAAAAGAATATATTCATATGCTGGAAAGATTTTTATGAAAACAAGTTCTAGGCAAATATGATTTTATTTTTATTTTTTAAAAATCTAAAAAGGTAAAATAGTTTGTAGAAAGACTAAAAAAGCCTGGTAGGTTTAAGATTAAAGGGGTAAAAAACACTTTGGCTTTTTACTTCATATGTGTTTGTATTGTCTTAATTATTTACAGGAAATATGTAGTATTTTCATAAGTAAATAATTTAAAAAAATATGCCAGGTGCGGTGACATATGCCTGTGATCCCAGTGGCTTTGGAGGCTGAGCAAGTCAAAGCCACCCTCAGCAAAAGTGAGGGGCTAAGCAACTCAGTGAGACCCTGTCTCTAAATAAAATACAAAAAATAGGGCTGGGTATGTGGCTCCATGGTTGAATGCCCCTGAGTTCAATCCTGTTATCCCCCCCCCCAAAAAAAAACCAAAAAACAAAAAACACATACCTAGGAAATTCCAGAAGATTATAATAATAATTTTTTAAAATCACTGACCCATATTCCACAATCACAGATAAAGAGTCTTTACATTTTTGTGCACATTTTGCAGACCTCTAGCCATAGGCACTCGTGCACATTTTAACTGCATGTACGTGCGACAGATGCTCTGCAGCTTACCTGTCAAATATCATGGATAGATTCCCATGCTGTTTTAGTCAGCTTTTTCACTGCTGGGTTTAAAAGACCTGACCAGGACAATTGTAGAGGAGGAAAAATTTATTTGAAAGATCATGGTTTTAGAGGTCTCAGTCCTTAGAAACTGGCTCCATTCCTTGGGGCTTGAAGTGAAGGAGGACATCTTGGAGGAAGAGTGTGGTGGAGGGAAGCAGCTCACATGAGGATCAGAAAGCAGAGAGACTCCCCTAACTAGATACAAAATATATACCCCAAAGGCATGCCCCCAGGGACACACCTCCTCCAGCCACACACTACCTACCTATAGTCATCACTAAATTAATCCCACCAGGAAATTAATCTATTTATTGGATTAAGACTCTCATAACTCAATCATTTCTCCTCTGAACCTCTTGTATCGTCTCACACTTGAGCTTTTAAGGGGTACCTAATGTCTAACCTATAACACATGCCAACAAATATTTAACTGTATCTTTGATTGTAATGGTTCCATTGTATTCCATTGCATAGCATACATAAATTTCATGATTCATTTATCAGCTCTTCTGTATGATAAGAGATTTATTTAGAAAAATAGGAGCTAATCCTACGTAAGAGGAGATAATAATTGTCATCATTTTTATTTTTCAAGTAATACTTTGATGTATAAAGCTGTACTTAACATCTTTTGCTAGTTGTCTGATTATTTCCTTAGGATAAATTCCTAAAAAGAGATAACTGCAACAAAGTCTGTGTGACAATGTTGACTTCTCTATGACCTCACCAACAGTAGGTTTAATAAATCTTTTTAATTTATGGCAATATGATATGGAAAAGAATTGATGATGATTTATTTCCTATGTATTTCTTCTTGCAGGCAGTGTCTATTTAACCCCTCTTCTTATTGAGGATAGTATAATAATTTTTAAAAATGTAATTAATTTTGTTCTAAAGGTATACAAAAGTATTGTTGAAGCAAAATTAATTTCTTCAATATGTCTTATCTCTGTTTTCAAAAGTCATGGAAGTATTTTTCTTGAATGATGTAACTGAACAGTATTTAGAAGTTGAGCTTTGTCCGTAAGTATAAAATATTTTTTCTTAATCATTACTACATAATTTGAACACATTATTTTAAAATTATAAATCATATGGTTATAGTAGAGCTCACTGATTCTAGCTATTAGAGACAATGCTAACTTGCATTTCTTTTATTGTCAAATACAAAGCTTATATTCAGAATATATATTTAAAATACATATTTCAAAGTGTTTGAATATATCATATCAATGTAACTTTTAATTCACTAATATTGTTAATTTTTGTGATCAATTTAAAGAAAATTTTTTTTTGCAAAATAAAAAATTATAAAACAAAAACTCATTCCCTCATAGTTTACTCTATACATTTGTTTTATTATATATCAAACACTCTAAATAAAGGGAGGCATGTAGATATAATGAATGTAACTCACGAAAATGTTTCTTTTAGGGGACTTTAAAATAAATATATTAAATTTTAATTTCATATATTGTATAATTGTATATTTATGTATTCCTTTCTTTATTCATCATTCTTTTTTCTAGTATGTACTATGACAATTTTTTATTCAGTGACATAGATTTTCCTAGACTCACAGAAAATATTAACATTGGAGTGTCTTTGTTGAAGTTTATTTCCCTGGGAAATTTCTTTACCTTGTTTACAAACTATATTTTTTTTTTATTCTTATATAGATGTGAAAAAGTAAAGTATGTTCACTTGCCATCTAAATTATAGCAAATTTTAAATTAGTAAAGTATTTAATGAACAAAATAGTCCTACGTATTGCTATTATTAATTTCAAATGCCATTTAGACGCCTCCCAGTATCAGTATCCAGTAGTTTTTATTCCTTAGTGGACTGTTCAGAGAGCTGCAAACAATTCTTCTAAATGAGGCTTTAGATATCTTTTTAAATTTTCTCTCCTCTTGATTTTTTACTAACTCTAGTGTGGAAAATTTTTTTAAAAAGAAGTACAATTATATGTCTCTGTGTGTCATCTCTTTATTAACACGACAAAATCTTTATTGGAAAATATGTTGAAGTCTTGTAAACTGTCATGGAAGGTAAGGTAATTTCAACTACTGTGTGATTGTTCTCACTCTGTACACGGAAAAGCTAAGGCACTTATCATTTGTCTATAAAGTAAAGAAATTGGAGCTGCCAGAACTCTCAAGTTCAATCCTTAGTTTTAATTTTATTAGATGATAATATTAGTTTATTTTGATAAAGTGATGACATAACACTGTAGTCTAATCAGATTTTTTTTTTTGTTAAGAAACAACACAGTGGACATTGCCTATAAAATTAATAAATTTTAAAAATTAAAATCCTTAGAATAGTTTGGTTTTATATACAACAGGAAAGCTAATCAAGAGTCATGGTTTTGGGGCTGGGGATGTGGCTCAAGTGGTAGCGCGCTCGCCTGGCGTGCGTGCGGCCCGGGTTCGATCCTCAGCACCACATACAAACAAGGATGTGTCCGCCAAGAACTAAAAAATAAATATTAAAAAAAAATTCTCTCTCTCTCTCTTTCTTTGAAAAAAAAAAAAAAAAAAAAAAGAGTCATGGTTTTGCCTCAGGCAACCAATTCCTATAATGGTTCATTAACTTCTAAGAAAATAACATGAAGAGTATCATTGTTTTCATTTGTAAGAAATTTTACACCTCATAGGATATTCCTTAGGCTGCATAAAAACAATAAAAATAATCAGAGAATTTTAAATACTTAAATTTAAGTATTCTGGTAGAATACTTAACTGAAGACAGGCATTGTGGTGCACAACAGTAATCCCAGTGACTGCAGAGACTGAGGCAGGAGGATCCTGAGTTCAAAGCCAGCCTCAGCAAATTAGCAAGGCCCTAAGCAATTTAGTGAGACCCTGACTCAAACAATAAAAAGGGCTAGGGACGTGGCTCAGTGGTAAAGTGCCCCTGAGTTTAATCCTTAATACCAAAAAAAGCGGGGGGATACTTAACTGAAGAAGCTCTTCCCTCACAGTATCACAAAAGACAATTCGTGTGGAAACGTTCGATAGTCTTCCAGAAACAATAAATTTGCTCCATGTAAATATGTGAAATCTTTTGATTCTTACTGACCTGCTAATCCCCATTATGCATTCTCATTAGAGTTTCCTTTTGAGGATATATTGGGTTATTTTTGAAAGTGACGTTGCTGTCTGAACTACAGGTAGATGCTGGAAGAAGCACAGGGCACATAGGTCAAGTGTAGTTGTATGAGAAAAATGAGACAGATTAAAATCTTTAGTGGGTTGGCTAGTGATTTAAATTAGTAAATTTAGTCGGTCTGTGATTTGCATTTTCTATCTTCCTAATGAGCATCAAAGTAGTTTTTTTGCAGAAATAACCTTTAGTAAAGTTGTTACATTTAGACTTAGAAATTGGTCCCAGTTCCCCTTAGGGCACTTCAGTTTTTGAAACTTATCTTATTATAAACCCCACAAAATGTGATATCCTTTACTCCTTTTTCATACTTTGTGTCATCAAACCAAATGAAATATTTTATATTATTTCTTATTAAAATATATAAAAAGCCATCTTAGAATGTGAAACTGCATTTCACAGAAGTTGTCTGGAAATGGAAACTCAAAGATATCATTTCTAAGTAGCTGAACAAACTGGCTCTCCCTGTAATGATGTAATATTTGTATTGCTTCTTTTATTTATTTACAAATTTATTTATAAGCACACATATTCCAGAAATGAAAGATGATTAGGAAAAGAATATTCATTTCATGTGATGTAAAGGCTTTCTTTTTCTGCATATTCTGTGTTTGGTCCCCTCATCTTGGATATCATTACCAATAAAACTTTTTCGTTAAAAGAATTAAAAAATAAAATTTGTTTCTTTCAAACACTTATGAGGAACCTTAATTTTGACAGCCATGGGCAGCATTTAGTGCTTCTACTCTCTGGAAGAAGAAATGTGTGGAAAGTAAGTTAATAAAATTATGAAACACAATCTTTAAGTGTGCAAGCAGTATGTGTGTGTTTAAGGTACAAGTCTGAATTTAACTTTTGTGTATCACATATTATTTCCATAGCAAGAACTTACTTTATCTTTCAAAGTGTCCAGAGGTGAGACAAAATGGGAAGGCAGAGCTTATCTTCCTTGGAGCTATTTTCCACCAAATGTGACAAAATTTAACGCATTTGCAATTCATGGATCAAAGGAAAAAAGAAGTTATGAAGCCCTTTATCCCGTACCTCAGCATGAACTGCAGCAAGGACAGAAACCTGACTTGTAAGTAGACCATCAATGTAGACATGTTACAACTATAGAGATTTTGGAGAATTAATTCTTGGTAGAGCATTAGTAACACTTTTTGGTCAACAAAGATGATGTGTACCAGCTCCTAGTGGGTCATGAATTCCGTGATGGTCTCAGTAGGTGCATTACAGGTTGCCTTTGGGCTGATAGTCTCTCTGCTGTAAGTGCAGCCCTTAGTTTTCTCTAACACTATGAGAAAAATTTTGTTTAGCAAGTGTTGCATCAACTGCTATAGAAATATGGCTTCAAATTCATTTATGAGCCCTTTTAGAGCTACAGGGCCAGAGGAATTAGGGTTCCTCGTGTGAACAAAGGACTAGTGAATCCTTTTTGTTCTGCAAAAGAATCTGTACTTCAGTTATCTCTGTAGTTCATCCTGGATGGCTGCAAGGACTACCCGCTTTGGGGAGGATGGCCAGATACTGTCCTTGGGGCAAACTGATTTCTGCTCTCTGTTGCCTCTGAGGGTGTACAGTGTGGTCAAGAGAGTCTGCGGGGAAGAGCTGATCAGAGACATCCCAGTGAGCATGATACCAGGGTAGACTGATATGCCCTTGGGATGTACAACACTGTCCTTCCTCTCCCTATTCATCACCTTCCTGCTGGCATGCTCCTGATTCACTCTACCTTGCCTTCATCTTTTTTTTTTTAATTTAACAATCCTAATTGGCTTCATTTTTAATTTTAAAATCAGGTAACACTTCATTCCATAAAACAGAATCAGTTTTCCTATGAGCCAAGCACTCATCAAAAATAATTTGATGAGGTAACATCAGATTATTTATTTTTCTTACACAAAATAAGGACAAGGGAACTTCACTGTTTCACCAGTTGAGAATGGCTGTTCTCCCTCCAATCCAGATTTCTCTTGGAGGACCAGATGTGTCAGCTTGGTTTGATTCACTCCATGTTGTTGTCTGCCGCACACCACCCCCCCACCCCCCGAATATTGTCTCTGTTCAAAAAACTGGCTTCACAAATAATGTGGCAGCAGGAAAATTTCAGAATCCAAAGCTTAAAAATAAGTCTTGGCAGTGTGGGGTTATTTTCTGTCTCTGGGGGGGGATCATCCGGTGTCCGAGGCCTGGGGACAGAGGCAAAGTACCCAGCCACCCATCTAGGAGATGTCACTCTCAGTAGCGTCTGGTGTCCTGACCTGTGCTCACCCAGGATGATGGTGGGTAAGGAACAGCAGGTCACAGGGGCCCCCTGACCCTCTAGGAGACAGAGCTCTCCCTGGGCAGACCCCAGGGCTGAGGGTCAGCAGCCAGGGGAGAATCAACGACTGTCCCCGCCTGTGGTCCCTGAGGTCCTGGGGCAGGGATGCAGGAGGCAGCCAGTGTCACAAGACGTCCCTGTCCCCAGCCAGGCCGGGCGCCTGGCTAAGCAAGGAGAAAGACCGTGTCCCTCCTCAGGGCCTGGCCCCTACGCCTGGTCTCACTTCCTCCCCGGCACTGCCTGGAAGGGGAGGAAGTGACACCCAGGGGAAGGCCGGGAAGTGAGGCCACCATCATCAAGTTCAGGGTACAACAGCTCAGTCTGCCGCCAACAGGCTCCATACTCTGCTTCTCTTCATGGACCACGTCCCTTCTGAGAGTCACGCCGTGCCCTTTATAGGCAAAAAGGCCCCAGAAGTTCCAGAGACACGTCCATGTTTAGGCCCCCGGATCTGGAAGTGCCTTAGGCGCACATCCATGTTTAGGCCCCCGAATCCAGAAGTTCCAAAGGTGCACGTCCATGTTTAGGCACCCGGATCCGGATGTGCCTCAGGCGCGCGTCCATGTTTAGGCCCCTAGATCCGGAAGTGCCACAGACATCCATTTTTAGGCCCCCGGATCCGGAAGTGCCTCATGTGCACGTCCATGTTTAGGCTCTAGGACCGGAAGTTCCTCGGGCGTCCATGTTTAGGCACCCGGATCCGGAAGTTCCTCAGGTACACGTCCATGTTTAGGCTCTAGGACCGGAAGTTCCTCAGTCCTCCATGTTTAGGCCGTAGCATCCGGAAGTTCCTCAGGTGCTCCTCCATGTTTAGGCCCCCGGATCTGGAAGTGCCACAGACATCCATGTTTAGGCCCCCGGATCCGGAAGTGCCTCATGTGCATGTCCATGTTTAGGCTCTAGGACCGGAAGTTCCTTGGGCATCCATGTTTAGGCCCCCGGATCCGGAAGTTCCTCAGGTGCACGTCCATGTTTAGGCTCTAGGACCGGAAGTTCCTCAGTCCTCCATGTTTAGGCCATAGCATCCGGAAGTTCCTCAGGTGCATGTCCATGTTTAGGCCCCCGGATCTGGAAGTTCCAAAGGTGTCCATATTTAGGCCCCCGGATCCGGAAGTTTCTCAGACACCATGTTTAGGCCTTAGCATCCGGAAGTTCCTCAGGTGCTCGTCCATGTTTAAGCTCTAGGATTGCCTTCTTCTTATATAGATTATTCTACCTGGCTCACTTTTGCCACTTACCTTTGCTTTTTTTCCAGTCCTGATCATTCCTACCTAGCCTCTTTCTCTTTTTCTCTCATCCTTCACTATTGTTTCTTTAACTACTTACTCTGGGATCATTGATTTTATTCTAAAACTGGTCCATCCTGGCCAGGTGGGCATAAAGGGATGGAAATCCAGGTGCAGCTGACTCTGGGCCTACATACCAAGGTGGCACATCACTCTGGCTCTTCACTAGCAAATACCTCCCTATGTTTGGTTCTTCTGGAAAGAAAAGAGAAAGATGAGCACTCTCACACGTTGGCCTCATTAGCTTCGGCAAAGAAGGGAATTAATCTGTCCTTCAACATGGAGTTGAAACTTTTTATTGCTTATATGACTGATATAAATTATATCCAAGTTTGCATTTCAGAACATATACAAGAGTATTTTATGTTTCGTTTAAAGCTAGATGAAATGAGTTAGATTTTTGAGGGCTGATTTTTATTTCTCCCTTTGACTCTGAGGGAGATATTTGTAGAATTGAAAGGAGAGTGCTTTGAAAAATAGGTGAATGCATTGAGAGCTGAATGTTTGATAGCTAGAATGAGAAAATTGTACATATAGAACATATATTACCTTGCATATTTCTTAAAATAGAATGTTGTCCTATCACAGATGTGACAAAATAAATAGCTTTTCAGGACTAATTTTTCACAAATGCATAATTCATTTCAACTCCCACCTTTTCTTTGCTTTTAGCCATCGTCTAGAATATTTCAAGCCTTTCACTTTTAACACACTGTTTGGAAAAGAATGGAGACAACCAGAATCAGACCTGTGGCTAATAGAGAAACCTGACGTACAGGCGTACAATCAATAATTATATCAGTCATTGTTCCTCTATACCTTTTAAGGTAAACCAATAAGTACAGTCTCTTTCAGACACCATGGACGCTTTTCAACAAAAAATATTTTCATAGTCGTCACCATAAATGTAGTATCTCTGTGGAAGATTGTGTATGATTAACAAAATAGAGAGTTTATAGATGATTTTATCTTTAGTTAAAATGTTTCTCAGAGTCATTTAGTCCAGTCATTCTACCTTCTGCCCTGTATCACCGTCACCCCAAAATCCCTATTCTGTCAACCAAAATCATTATTTGTCTCCCCATTTCTTTATATTTTAGCCAGCCTAAGACTAAGAAATCTTAACTGCAAATTTTTAAGCTCCAAGTAATATAGAGTATTTTTTTCCATGAATCTACTATCCATTCTTGAAGTTAGTAGAAAACATTGTCCTGGTTCAGTTGAACAAGAAGTCTACATCTGTTAAGATGTCACTAAGATACACGAGTTATGTAAACAGCTTTTTTTTTTCTGACTTGAGACTGTTTATGACTGTTCAGAAAGAAATGAAGTGGTCTTATATTCAGGCAGTGGACTCTACTTTCATTTACAAATAAATGACTTTTTTGCATATAAAGGGTTTATTTAAAATTTTTTAAGGATAAGATAGAGTTATATCATAATTATAAAAATTACAGAATTAACAGATTCATATTGACATTTTTTAGTACCATTAAACAAGATGTTAAAATGTATTTATTTTATTTTCAAAGTGGCAAATAATTCTATTACAGAATCTTAAAATTTTGTGTTGTAATGTTTCACAGTTCAAGGCTTCTAGTAACTTATCTGTGAGCATCTTCACCAAACTTAGTCCTTCTCAGCATTCTTAACTCAAAGACCAGCAGCTTTCCAAAAATGAAGCTTTGTTACTCGTGGAGACCCCTGGTTACCTACCCAACAGTGCACTGTCTCCTCTTCTTTACCAACAGAAATAGAGTATACTCTACTTAGAGACTACTTTTTTTACAAAACTGAGACAAGAAGCATGTTTGCCCCTGGCATCCAGGAAGCAAAGAGAAAAGAAGGAGCCAGGGTCCCAGTATCCTCTTTAAGGGCATGTCCACAATGATGTAACTTCCTTCCACTAGGCTCCACCTCCTAAAAGTTCTGTCACCTCCCAATGGTGTCACAGTTGGGGACCAAGCCTTCAATGAGTCATTAAAAATAAAAAAAGAATTTTCTTTATCCATTCATCTGTTGAAGGGCACCTAGGTTAATTCCATAGTTTAGTTATTGTGAGTTGAGCTGCTATAAACATTGATGTGGCTGCATCACTGTAGTTTGCTGATTTTAAAAGTCCTTTAGGTATTTATATAGAGGAGTGGGATCACTGGGTCAAATGGTGACTCCATTCCAAGTTTTCTGAGGAATCTTCATACTGGTTGTATGGAGATTCCATAATGGTTGTGCCAGTTTGCATTCCTACAGGCAATGTATGAGTGTACCTTTCCCCCCACATCCTTGCCAAGATTTACTATTTATTTTTTTTTTAGTTTTCGGTGGACACAACATCTTTGTTTGTATGTGGTGCTGAGGATCGAACCCGGGCCGCACGCACACCAGGCGAGCGCGCTACCGCTTGAGCCACATCCCCAGCCTTGCCAACATTTACTATTGTGTTCTTGATAATTGCCATTCTGACTAGGGTGAGATGAAATCATGGAGTAGTTTTAATTTGCATTTCTCTAATTGCTAAAGATGTTGAACATTTTTTCATGTACTTGTTGATCAATTGTGTTTCTTCTTCTTTGAAGTGTCTGTTCAGTTCCTTAGCCCATTTATTGATTGGGTTATTGGGTTTTTTTTTTTTTTAGTGTTACATTTTTTTAGTTCATTATATATCCTGGAGATTACTGCCCTGTCTGAGGTGCATGTGGCAAAGATTTCCTCCCATTCTGTAGGCTTTCTCTTCATATCTCAATTGTTTCCTTTGCAGAGAAGCAGCTTTTTAGTTTGAGGCCATTCCATTTATTGACTCTTGATTTTACTTCTTGCACTTTCGGAGTCTTGTGAAGGAAGTCAGCTCCTAAGCTGACATGGTGAAGAATTGGGCCTGTTTTTTCTTCTGTAAGGCACAGGATCTCTGTTCTAGTGCCTAAGTCTTTGATCCACTTAGAGTTGAGTTTTCTGCAGGGTGAAAATAGGGGTTTAATTTCATTCTGTCACGTGTGGCTTTCCAATTTTTCCAGCACCATTTGTTGAATAGGCTATCTTTTCTCCAGTAAATGTTTTGTACCATTGGCCTATGTGTCAGTTTTGGTGGCAATACTATGCCGTTTTTGTTACTATAGCTCTGTAGTATAGTTTAAGGTCTATTGTTGTGATTCCTCCTGCTTCACTCTTCTTGCTAAGGATTACTTTGGCTATTCTGGGTCTCTTATTTTTGAAAATGAATTTCATGATTGCTTTTATTCTGATTCTATGAAGAATGTCATTAGGATTTTAATAGGAATTGCGTTGAATCTGTATAATGCTTTTGGTAGTATGGCCATTTTGACAATATTAATTCTGCCTATCCAGGGGCATGGTAGGTATTACCATCTTCTCAGGTCTTATTTAATTTCTTTCTTTAGTGTTCTATAGTTTTCATTGTAGAGGTCTTTGCAGGTAAATGGATGGAGCTGGAGGATATCATGCTAAGCAAAATAAGCCAATTCCCAAAAACCAAAGGCCAAATGTTTTCTCTGATATGCAGATGCTAATTTACAATAGGTGGGGATGAAGAATAGAGGTACTTTGAACTAGGCAGAGGGAAGTGAAGGGAGGGGAGTGGATGTGGGGATAGGAAGAACAGTAAAATGAACTAGACATTATTATTCTATGTACATATATAAACATATGACTGGTGGGATTCTACATCATGTACAGTCAGAAGCATGAGAAATTATACTCCATCTCTGTATGATTTATCAAAGTACATTCTACTGTCATGTATAACTAATCAGAACAAATAAAAATAAATAAAGAAGTCCTGATACATGTAACAACCTAAATGAAGCTCAAAAGTTTTATAGAACAAAATAACCCAGAATAACATACTATATAATTTTTATTGTTAAGATCAATTATAGTAAAACTAGCATATGGTGATTGATATTAGAATGATGATTCCTGTGGGTGAGAGCAGGAATTCAGTTTGCCTGGAAGAGGAGTACAAGGGAATGATCTGGTATGATTGTGGTGTTTTACATAATTTTGTCAGCATATGGCTGCATAAATTTGTCAGCATTTCTTAGATGTATATTTAAATTTGTGATGTTTATTTAAAATATGCCTTAATAAAATAAAATAAGCTGGAAATTAAATAGTTAACGTTAGGTTTATTTGAGTTTATATTCATCCATTGAACAGTTACTGGTGCTAGTTAAATATGGTTCAGCAATTCCTTCTTTTCATTTATTAAATATGTTCTCTATCTGCAAAGAGAACTGGTGTGACATAAATGCTGACTTTTCCAAAAGGAATCTTTAAGTGTCTTTGTGACCACCTATCCTGGTGGCAGTGTTAGGCATCTTAGATGAATTCAGAAAATGATTTTAAAATCGATAATAGCAACTAAGGTGTTTGATATAGTAACTGTCTGCCAGTTTCGGATAGAAAAGGTCTATTTAAAATAATGTCAGTTGATTAATTTATAAATCACTGGAAATCATTTTATAAAGAATATAAAGCTATTGAAATGAAAAAAATAAGACAGTATCCTGATTTTAGAAGTGAATCCATCACTTTGAATCATAGCTTCAGATATTAAGCATAACTACTTATATATTTGGAAAAATAAAGCACAAATACAGATAGTCATACCCATACAAAGTATTGAATTTGAATATTATGGTTTGTGAGGTTTCTGAAGCTATTCACCTATTTCTTTTATCTAAGATGTTTTTAAAACATATGGATAAGAAATATTTTTCTTTTTCCAATACCAAGCAAGCAAAAAATATATATAAATATTTTCTTTTGTAAGGAACACTACATTCAACCACAGAATTTTGGAAAGTTTGTCCATTAGTCAGAAACAAATAATGTACTGTATAGAAACTCGATATTTGAAAATGGGTATTAGTAATAGCTGTTTCAAATTTGTTTTTCAATTTCAGGACCATGAAAGAATAATCATTCCTTTGTTTAAAATATGCACAAACGCATTTCCTTGCACTATTCTGAATTGTTCTCTGCAGCAGAAGCAGTCTCTCTTGTCACCACCTGAATAGATTACACAGTGTGTATTTATTCAGGTGCTTTCTTGTGCTTTTCCCCAACTCCAATAAAGTATAAGTCACAGTCCAGAGAGAAATATGCCTTTTTATTTTTAGTTTCAAACTACTTTTTTTTAACATTGTAATATTTTTGCCACAGAAAACCATTTGATCATTCCTCCTCCTCTTCTGCCCCTTCTCCTCTTTCTCTCCCCCTCCTCCTACTAGTACTCCAACTCCCCATCCCCCCTCCTCCTCCTTTGAATGTTAGGCTTTGTGGGAACAGAGGATAATGAATAAACTTAATCTGATATTCAAAAAGGAAAAGTAGCAGTAACTGGGTGGAGCAGTTGCAGTGAGCCCCCAGGACTTTGACTCACACCTTGAAGCCCAAGGATTGTCCCTTCTTTCCCATCTGAGTTCCCACAGTGTTTTACACGTTGCTCTACAGCACTTACCTGCCACGCATTGGAAGGCTCTTCCCGTCTTCTCAGCCTTTTCCTCCAGAAACCAATTGCACACTGTGAACGGACAGGCAGCTGCCTGGGCTGCCCAGTGCATCCCCTGCTTCCTGCCCCCAGGGCCTCTCTACTACATGGACCTCCTGCTGGAGTCCACTTGGCTATTCTCACACATGAGCTGCTCATGGCATACAAAAGAGCTTGCACCACAGGGCAACTCCTGACCAAGGATGAGAACGGACACATTCTTCTCTTTTTCCTTCCTCTGATTGACAACACTGAGGTCCCTTCCCACATCTAAAAGCACACCTTGCATTGTCTTTCCCTCATTTTTATCATTTCCCATTTTCTCTTCCCAGCCTCCCTCCTGTTTGGAATTACTTAGCCAAAATCAACATCTGTGCAAGCCATTGTCCCTGGTTTGTTTTATGGAGAATCCAGGCTAAGTTGATTGATACCTAAACTGACTCTCGAAAGCAGCCCATCAAGGTGGGAATCTGGGATGGTAGTACCCAGTGTACTTGGTGGGAAGGTCTCCATTTCTGGTGGTAATGAGCCTGGTGGGGTCACATGGCAGTTACTGAGACTCCCGTTGGGTAGAAGACTGGCTCGAGGTGCAGGCGAGGTGCCCATTGAGGTGAAACATGAGCGTCTGTGACAGGTAGCACTTGGCATAGAGGCAGTAGGAAGAGTAAGGACTGTGGAGTTGCCTGACTTCTGAAAAAGGCTTTAGAAGCCTTGAAAAAAAAGGCGCCAACGACAAGCTGCTGGCCCACTGTGAGAGCTGCATGGCGGCATTCAAAGGAACCCTGGTTTCTAGCAGCTGCAGGGCAGGCTAAGGGACACTGCTCTCCAGGTTTAATGGTAAAAGTAGCTACGATCGCTTAACCTTGGCAGGTTTCCTGCGTTGAAGTGGGGGCTTTATAAGCCTGAGACCTGGGATGGGATGTTTGTGTGAATGAGCCTGTTATAACGTATCTTGAATCCCAGACACTTGTGTGCTCTCTGCAGTAGCAGAGAAGCTCCATTAACTCTTTTTATTATTATTGTTATTATTTTTTGGAGGTGATTACCCTCAAACTTGATGGCGAGGGCCCTATTGATAGGTCATATATTGTTGTGAATTATCAAGTTATACTAAGATGTACCTAGAAGCACCACAAAAGTAACCTGAGGCGGGTTTTGCATAAATAATGCTCTTCTCTTCAAATATGGCTTCAACTCTCTCATTTCCTCAATTTGAATTCCCTGAATTATGGAAGAGCCTTTGTTAGCAGATCTGGGAGCCTACTTAATCCTTCACTTATACTCTAGAGAATTATCCTTAAGGACAAATATTTAAGAATTCCTGACGGATGGTTTCACTGGTTAGTTATGGGCAAAATCTGAAGTTGGGAGGCAAGGAAGTCTGGAAAAGAGACCTGTGGATGAACTTAAGGCAATGAGCAGAAATCACAGGTATTAATGTAATGTCTTACATTAATTCCCACTAAAGAAAATCCACTATAGAGGAGGCCCTCAACCAGGTAGACAAAGTGACTTAACCTCTGTCCTTGGCTACCATAAGTTTGCACAGTTAACTATGGTGACTGGGCTAGAATCTGTGAACAGGCCCAATAGTATATATTCCTGATTGCTGTGCTAGTTAGTGCTAGATGCTCGAATTCATGATAGCCCAGACTAATGCTGAGACATTGATATGATACTGACCCTTGAGGACACTTGCGAGGTACTTGGTTGCACATTGATTTTATCAGGCTTTTATTTGAGGAAGACATCAATTCATCTGCTCTGTGTCAACACCTACACCACACTTGGATTTTCTTTCCATGCCTACAATGCCTTTGCCAACACCACCAAGTCAAAGCTTAGAGACTGCTGATCTACTGGTGTGGGATCCTATTATAGCTTCGCCTCAGACCAATTGGCCTGTTGATGGCAGGTAAGAAAATAGGTGTATAAGAAGATCTACACATCTTACTATATTTGTGTCACCTGGAAACAGCTAACCCGATAGAGTGATGAAATGGCTTATTAAAGGCTAAGTACACACTTAAGGAAGTTCCCTGTAAAGGGGGCCACTGAGCCAAATATCCGGGAACCAGGAAATTGGTACTCCTCTACCTCACTCACAGTGACGCAGCCATTGGTTCTTCTGGATTAAAAGTAGGGTGGGAAGTAGCCCACTACAGGACCCAGGAAATGTTCCGCTGGATCAGAAACTATGAAAACCGCCTAGTCACAGTGACTCTTTGTGTCAACAACTCAGTAGGCAAATAGAGCCATGATATTGGGGGAGATTGCTGATGCTGTCTAGCATGAAGAACTAGAGTTATAGCTATTAATGTTGGCAGGATAGAATGTGCCCTTCGTAGGGGCTTTATTAGGGCATATCTGTGCCTCAGGATCAAGTCATAACATTAAATAGACAACTATAGCGACCAAAGCCAGACAAGGTAAAGCAACCAATGACTCTGACCCTGACCATGACGGTCTAGGTTTTACCTCTCCAAAAACTGGGACCCACTGAAGAGCTTGCAGTAGAACTTGTGGTAGGAAAGAGAGATGGTAAGTATCAGTGATAACCCTAAGAGCTACTTCCACTGCATTCATTGCATTGAGTCTTGAATGCAAGCTAGCCACCACCTTGAAGATTGTGACAGACTGGACTCAGTATGGAAGCTGTGTGACTCTGAATGCTGCACAGAGTGGATTATACTGGATACACCTCCTGTGTTCCACCTCATGTCCATCAGGCCATTTTTAAGTCCAGCAATTTCACATTCCCTCTCTTGTACCAAGTATCTCTTGTTTTCTCTCTCAGTGTTTTTCTGACACCCCCTGCCATATGGAACACCTGCAGAAATATTATAATTTATTTTGACAGGTTAAACCTGGAAGTTTGAGGAATTAATATTCTTGGGCAACGGGAACAGGGATCAGTGAATAAATACCTCCCTCTTCTACCCTTTGGGCAGATCATTCTGAGGTATGTTCCATACATTTCCCCATTAGTGCCTGGTGAACGGAGCTTTAGTTGTCTGCAGCAGTGACTTGCTTTAATTGTACAACCTTAGATGCCATATTTAATTTCTTTGAGGTTCAAATTCATATCTCTTAGAATCTCATTTCAAAATTAGTGAATTGCACATAGATTGGGGTATTTTTTTTTTTTTTTTGCTTAGAAAAAAACAACCCTGAAAGAATCCAACTTAAGTTTCTTTCAAGTCTAAGAGGTAGCATTTGCATTTGATAGGAATATGTTTGCCTTATGAATCTTTTAATTAAGATCAATCTCATATATAATGAATTATACATATATGCACACATGTGTATATATATATATATATATATATATATATATATATATATATACACACACACACACACATAATTTTGTTAACTCATCTTTTTTGTGCTCTACCCATTTTCTGATCACTTCTTGTCCTAATTCTACTTGGAAAGAGCAGAACTTATAAAATCGACTATCAAAACCATTTATTTTCACCAACTATCATTTATCATATAAGGAATAGTAAAAGGAGTTCCCCCAGGCTAGGATAAGAGATGCATGAGGCATATAGGAAACCAGAAGTCATGAATCTATGAGAAGTGAGGAAGCCAGGCACAGTGGTGCATGCTGTAATCCCAGCGACTCGGGAGCCTGAGGCAGGAGGATGGCAAGTTCAAACCCAGCCTCATCAACTTAGCGAGGCCCTAAACAATTCAGTGAGACTCTGTCTCTGATGAAATATAAACAAGGGCTGGAGATGTGGAAGTGGCTTGGTGGTAAGCTCCCCTGAGTTTAATCCCTGGTATCAAAATAAATAAATAAATAAATAAAAAACATGAAGAGTGTCTGTACAAATTTTATTTTATGATCTTGTGATAAACATCCAGTAATAAAAATTCTCTATGTAATGAGATCCAATCTAATAATAAAATGGAGAAAGGAAATATTGTGAAATGACGTTTCACTTAACCATTTGTTTGAATAATAATAAAGTAATATATAGTTATATCCTTGGCTCTTAAGAGAATTTTATTTCTGTTCACTTTTACTTTGTCTTCTTGGGAAGAGCTACAGGAGGTGGAAGATTTAGCGCAGGCTAATTTCCGCTGGCGCCCCGTCCCCAGGAGGTCTGTTAAGGAGTGGTGCACTGGGAAGCCATGTCGGTGGCAGTGCCCAGAAACATCAAATGACCAGAGTAGGTCTCTGAAGAGAAAGCTTTGATGAGATAGAAAACCAAGCTATGAATCAGTTTGAGCACTCCAAGAAGTAACGGTTGGTAGATATGAATGTATATTTTTGAATGAGATTTGAAAAAATTTCTAAAAAAAAGAATATTCCAGATAGTATGCTTTGGTATATACTGCAGAAACATCAAGTACCCTGCATTCCCAGGACAGTTCTGAGTTTTCTTCTAACTACCTAATGTTGTGCAAGTTGCCTCATGAAAATATGAAATACTTAAATATTTTAATATTATTTATACATATTATACATGTTGTTTATGTTAATAACCTTACATTTAATTTTGACTGCCACCTCAAAGAGAGACAGATAGCCTTGGAATGCTTATTTTTAGTTTAAGAAACTAAGACCTATAGAGATTGTGTCTTGCCTAAAATCACACAACTGAGGAGCAGCAGATTTGAACCCAGAGCCTTTGATTCTCAAGAGGAGGCCCTAGACTACTGGAAGCCCTGGACTATGGCTCTCTGAATCATAATGACTCTTCTACAAGATAACACCACTGGACCAGGAAGCCTTCCCCACCCCAACCCCAGTTCTCTAAACAGAAAACTACATGGGAGAAGAGAGAGGTTCATGATCCCTTCACTTGCTCGTGGGACACGGGGTGAGTGAGTATTCAAGGCACCCTTGTTATAATGCATGGGCTGAGGCAGACCTGTTTGTTCCAGGCCTCCTGGAGGGTCTCTGTTGCAGCCACATGTACGTGGAAATGATGCCCGCGGAAGCGATGCCCGCAGCAGATGTACTTTGGTGTCTGATCTGAATGTGGCTCTCTTAGGATTCTCCCTGCTAGGACAGGAATCCTTTTGTGGTCCTGTGTTAGAGAGGAGGGAATCCAGGCTTCATCCATACTAAATGCTTTTACTTGATTTTTGTTTTTTTCAAAGATCAAAAGACAAGCATCAGATGACTTGGAAATTGAGCAACCAAAAATGTCACCTGAGGGGCCTAGCAGGAACATCTTTAGGTCTTTGGGAGGCCTGCCCTAAGAAGGGAATGCTGTTCTTCTGGGAGAGTTCGTGGAAGAGCGAGTTGTTATAAAAGCCTGAACCTGCCCCCTGAATTGTTCTCCGCTTCCTACCTTGTGGTAGGCGCTCTCACTCCCATGTGCTGCCACTGTGCCGGCATCCACCCTTGAGCCCTTACCAGAGGCTGAACCAAGGGGCCATCTGGTCATGAACCTTCAGCCTCCAAAACAAAGCTACATAAGTCTTTTTTCTTTATAAATTTATACAGCTTTGGGTATTTTGTTATAGTAAAGAAAAATATTCTACTTTTTGCATGAAGACAATGAAACTTTTTTTTCTCTTGAAAGGAATGTCTTTCAAAACTAATGAAGTAGAGGGATTTATATTAGTGATATTTTAAAACTACACATTACAAACATTAGTGAATAGATTACAGAGCCTATAAAGTGGGTTGTAACAAGTAAATATAACAAAATATCAATGTATTATATGTTTGCATATGTCTGTAATTTGAAGACTTTTGTTCTTATTTTGAATTTAATCATAAAAATTAAAAATGCATTCATTTAGAATGTTTGTAAAAAATGTTTTAAATGCTCTGTTTGCTATAGTATCTCTTGGGTAACTAGTTAATATCCAAAAGAATCTCCAGGATCAGTCACTGGAAAAGATTTAAAGGTGTAGTTCACACCCAAATTTGTCTTTGATGCATCTTAAAAAGTGAAAGCAATTTTCAATTTAAATTTTATTTGAAAATTGAGAATATAAATAGATGGTTAATGATTTGCCTATATAGAGACCCTAAAGTTAAATCTACTCATTAAAAGTGGTTCCTTTTCACAATATGCAGCTCCTTCCCTATATGGTAGGATGATTCAGTTTACAAATAAAAATAAAGCTGACTTAAGCCAGCGTGAGCCATAACCAGAGGCAGGTGGACTTGCAGCAGTGTTGGGTCCAGAGATTGACAATCCTGTGGGTCCCTAGCTCCATGACTTTCTTGCTCTGCGTCCTTGAGGTCAAATACAGCTTTTCTTCATGAGGATAAAATATCTGTGGCTATTGCAGGTCTCACAGATTGTAAAATCTGGTGTAAGAGAAACTATTCAGTGATTTAGGATACTTTCCACACATTTTAGAAAACTGTAGAGTTTTCTACTGTCTGGGTTTGGGTAAATGTTATTTCCTGCTTTCAGATGTTCATATGCCTCCTATATTTTTTGTGAATTAAATCTAGAAGCTTGGCCATGTTCAAGTTTGATTTTTAGGAAGCTTATGTCTTGGGTGGTAGTGTGTTTTTCTATCAGGAGACCCGCATCTGGTTGGCTCCTGTTTTGTGGTGGCTGAAAGCATCGGTGAGCATCACCTGGATCCATGGTGTTCCATTGGTCTCCCACTTTTTCATTGCCTCCATATTTCTTAGTTGGAATGATTCTGAACGTAAATGCTTTCTTGATTCATCTATTGGGATAACATAAAGCACTGTTTTTAGAGGATAAATGTGGAATTCTTTCCCTTCATTTAGCAGTTTTCAGAATATCTATTTTTCTAGTGTCCTACAAAGACAACTAATGAAATTTTAAAACAGAATTTTGAGCTCATGGGTTAAAAATGCTCAGTGTGCACCAATCCATCACAGTTTCCTTACTGATGCTTCCATCTGTGGCCAGTGGAAGTCTAAATTGGTCCCTGAATCTTCTCACATGACTCTATTTTTTTCTATTTCTGCATTGCATCCTCTCTCTGACCTAGAGTAATAGATGGAATCTTTATATGATGTTTGTGGGTGACCTCACATGGCAAGGGGGGTTAAGTCATGAGCTGCTTTCACTTTGCATTCAGAGTGGCAAAGGACTTAGACGACATTTTCCTGGGAAACACACCCTGTGAATCCCAAGTCTAGGCAAAACCTGACTAAGAGCATTCCACAGATAAGGACAGTCCTGCTGGAAAATATCTGTAGCCCAAGGAAGTCAGTCAGCACCATGAAAGGTTAGAGTGGAACACCTGACTGTTTTCCTTTCCTGAACAGCGTCCCCTGGGAACCAGAGAGGAACAAGAGACAGGGGAGCAGCTTTCCTTGCTCTCTCCTTCTGACCTTTGCCATGGATTTCTCAGGTATTTTTTCATTATTTGTCTTTCACCATGTCTGTGGTGCTTTACACAAAGGATATACCAATTAACTAGGTCAACTGCCAAGATTTTAGTTTACTTATCGAGGAGTAAGAATTCCCTCTAAAAAAGCAACTTAATGATCACATTGCTTCATAGATCTTTGGTATTCTATTAGCTCAGTTACCCTCTTGTGTTCTTTATCCACATTTATTTGAAACATTTTATAATATGTTGATGGAGGCATTTGAACTTGAATATACATTTTCTCTAAAATTAAATTCACTTCCTTCTCTGACCAACAAAATTCCATACATAGTAATATCTATCAGGAGATTAATTCATTTTCCAAATATTTTCTCATCCTGGGGAATCAGTGTTTATAGAAATCTTGCTTTTTATTTTATGATATAAATAAATGTACCCATCACTTTTTATACCGTATAGATTGAACAGGGGTTAAAGTGATGTTCAATATAACATGTATCAGTTAATATTTCAGGATCATATTTCAGGATCCTTTCCATTAGAAACAGCTTCACCATATTCCCTATTATAGAGGTAGTATCTGGAGTCTATTGTCAATCAATCCTAGATCCCATCTGATGGGTTTCAGATATAGTAGAACAGGTTTTTACAGGTATCATTAGATAACATCTGCCCCCAGTAGGGATAATACAGTGTTGCTTCTATATCTGAAGCTGCTTACTGCTGATTTCAAGAATCCAGGAAGCTATCTCAGGAATCTGTTAGGGCATCTGCGTTAGCATTTTATCCTTCTTTCTGAGCATCTGCATGATCCACTTTAATTCCTAATTCCCACAGAGATCTCCTTGATTGGATATTCTCTATCATCCAGTCATCTAGAACCCATTTACCATTAGCAGTAGCCCGAAGTCTGTAAATATCCAAATGTTCCTCCAAGTCTGTAATTCCTCTCCCATCGTTAAACCAGCAGCTCTCAACTCTGCCAAATTCGCACAGTCGCCCATTCCTTCTCTCCTCAGCACTTTTTCTATCAGTAAAACACACGGATGCCAATTTCTAAACATAAGCCAGGAACTCCCATCAGGGAACCAAGCAGGGGCTGTCTCAACTGGGAAAGGATCCGAGAGCTTGGACCACGGACCAGCTCCTTGGGGGACTCCATCACTGGCTGTATGGGCAACTTGTTCAGCTGTGCCATGCACCCCCCTGAATTTCCTGCCTTACTCCACTTGTCCCTGTAGCATTTCCTCCTTGTCAGTGAGCTTTGCTGTGCTTCCCCCTCTCTATTCAATGTCTCTGAAACCATTCAAGGCAAACTTGGCATCTGTCTCAGAATTATTTGATGCCCTTCTGTGACGGACACAGTTTTGACCAAGTCCCAGTAATAAGCTGGCAGTTATCTTCCAAATGGGCATTAGTGAGCAACTGCTTCAGTTAGTTTTCAAGTTCAAAATCCATGAGGTCTTTGGTGGGCATCCCTAATGATTTCTTCCACAAGCTTCAAGTCTGCCTGTGTCCTAGCGGCAGATGGTCCAGTATAGTCGGAATGGCTGGGTCATATAATCTGAATTACTGGGACTCCCTGGGCCACCACCCCCTGTAAATCTCTTAATGCCTGTTTCTTCTCAGGACTCCACTTAAAATAACATTGATTTTTTATGACTTTGTGATAGGGTATAACAGTATTCTTTTAAG